CACTTTCTTCAATCTTTCCAATATCTTTTATAACAAATATCTTGTAATACATCTAAACTATGTGTATTCTTATAAAACCTCACTTCATGTGAAAAATCATGGATTAAATGCAATTGCTAAGATATAGGTATACTGAACTGTTGATGCTATTTTTCTTACTGAGATAATGAAAGGAAATACATTAATGATTTTATTTGTCTCAACATCCCCTTTCCAGTTTTTMTATTGTATGCAGATTCACAAGCCAACTTTAAGTTCTAAGCACATAATAAACAGGATCTCAAAATTCTACCCTTGATGTTTCCAGCAAGTAGTGCCACAGCAATGAGAAGATTCAACAACACTTTCCATCACCTCAGTGGCTTTGTTCTAGTAGGTTTTTCTGAATGGCCCAAACTAGAAATGTTTCTTTTTATGATCATCTCTACCTTCTATATATTGACCCTTCTTGGAAATTCAGCTATCATTTTCTTGTCCCGCTTTGACACCATGTATTTCTTTCTGGCTAATCTCTCCTTTTTGGACCTCTGCTATACAGCTTCCACAGTCTCCAAGATGCTGATAAATATACACAGTCACAAAAGAAGCATCAGCTATGTGGGATGTATAGCTCAACTTTTCATCTTCCTAGGTCTAGGATCTAGTGAATGTGTACTTCTCTCAGTAATGGCATTTGATCAATATGTAGCTATCTGCCAGCCTCTCCACTACACAGTTATCATGCATTCTCGGCTATGCCAACAACTAGCAACAGTGGCTTGGATAACAGGTTTCAGCAACTCCTTGGTGCAAACAGTGYTGACTTTCTTATTACCTCGTTGTGGCCAATATCGAGTAGAGAGTTTCTTCTGTGAGGTACCTGCCATGCTTCAATTATCATGTGTGGATACACGGATCAGTGAGGTGGAGATGTATGCAGCTGTGATCGTCATAAAGGTTATTCCTGTTGGATTAATTCTTTTCNAATAATTGAATCGCAGAATAGTAATTATTTCTAAATTATGTTAAAGTGTCTCATTATTCCTAACATTTTTACTTATCATTTGACTTTATTATTTTATTGTGATGGTTAGTAAGTCAGCTTATTGTTCTGTCCAAGATAACATTCTACTTTSCTTAATCTCCTTAAAATAAAGAGTGACCTTAAATACAGGCATGCAGATAAAATGGAGATGATCCATTTTATCCATCTCTTTACCATATAATATCCAAGGTTTAAATAAAATGTTACTAAATGCTTGTTTAAATATTCACACAGTGCAGGTTTTTCCATTCATTCTAGTGGCCACATACAATAGTAGTTAAAAGCACAGGATTTTAATTGAGGCAGACCAAGAGTAGGCTTGTTCTGCCACTTACTACCTATACCATTGCAAGGCAAGTTATTTAACCTTTCTGAAATTCAGCATTCTTGTATATAAAATGGATATGACTAATGAATTTATGTGGATTAAATGAAATGGGCAAGGCACTTAAAGACAAATACATGTTCTCATATGTTCCATCTGAAAGAGTTGATCTCATAGAACTACAGAACAAAATAGAAATTAYCAAGAGATGGAGCAGTTGAGGAAAGGGATTGGAGAGATGATGTTCAAAGATACAAAATTTCAGTTAGGTAGGAGCAATAAATCCAAGAGATCTATTGTATAACATGGTGAGTACAATTGATAAAGATATATTTAAATCTTGAAAAATGCCAACAGAGTTGATGTAGTGTTCTCATCACAAAGAATGACAATTACTTGAGATCATACAAATGTTATTAAATTCAGTCATTCTATTATATGTAGTATAGTGCAGAATTTTATATATATATATATATATATATATATATATCACTTTTTATACATAACATACAATTCTATGCCAATTAAAAATAAAATAATAATAAAATAGATTGGATTTCCTTAGAAATGTCCAAAATTCTGCCATAAGAATGAAAAGAATTACATATGATTTTATAACAAAAACAAATGACAATTGTATTAAAAGGAAATGATACATATRTAATACTTATAAAAGCTCTTCATTATGAATCATTTTATGAATAATAATGATTAATACTGTTGAACAGTAATATTTATTTTTATATCATGCATTGTATTACATAGTTGAAAGTTTAAATAAAACATTCTTATTTGAATTGTTTTACATGTAAGCAAAATGAAACATACAGATAGTACATGTACAGATGTGTGTGTGCACATGATAATATATTTAGTAATTGTCAGATGCAAGAAAAACAACAGAGAATTTTTAAATACATTATTCAGAGCTTTTCCACTTTCCTATGGAAAATCTATTATGTAAGCATACTTCCCAGAAAACAGAAACTTACATGGCAAAGAAGCTTAATTATAAGAGAGCCTATTTTTAGAATTTTTCTACTTGGAAGTATGGCTAAGCAAGGCAGACTGACACAACCTATGGAAATCCCCATTGCTTTTGTAGTTTTGTTATTTGATATAAATACATTATTTCTTTTAAATATAGATGTGCTTTTTATCTAAGCAAAGTAAGTGGAACATTTTATGCTATTAGTCTTAGGCATGTTTACTCCTAGTAATTTAATTATCTCTTGGGTAAATATCATCATATATTAATTTCAT